TCGGGAGGCTGAGGCAAGAGGGTCGCAAGTTCAAGGCCAACCTTATCTACTTAGCAAGACCCTAGCTCAAAATAAAACATAAAAAGGGCTGGAATGTGGCTTAGTGGTTAAGTGCACCCAGGTTCAAACCCTGGTATAAAAAATAAATAAATAAATATAAAGAACAGCCAATCTCTGTAACTCTAAYAAGTCTGTTTAACTTATTTAAGTTGAGCCCAAGTCAGCAACCTCTGAGAGAGCACACCATAAAGGAACACACTTGCCAGCCAGCCTGGTGTCCTGTGGGTGGAGCCAGACACCTGCCCTCTGCTGGAGAGGCTCACTGAGGTATGCAGGGCCCTGCCATTCCCCAGCCATGCCAGCGTGTGCAGATGTGAGCCCAGGACAGGACTGGGTGCAGCTCAGAGTTAGAGCTCTTGTCTAGCATGCATTAGACCCTGGTCAACCCCCAGCAACACAAAATCAATCATCAACCAACCAATCCCAGGCTGCATTACCCTCTGGCCTCCCACAGAGGTTTAAAAAAAAAACATCAGCCCTCACCACATGTGTTTGGTAGTGAGCAGACCTTCTAAACCAACCCTCACCACATGTGTTTGGTGGTGTGCAGACCTTCTAAACAGTGACACAACTCATTTGTGTTTTAGGCACCAGAGAGGGAACCCAGGCCTTGCACATGTTGGGAAAGTGATCTGTTGTGGGAGACCAACCTTACATGTGACTGGGTTATACTTCCCGGCTGGGTGTTGGGGCACTCAGTCGAAGAAATGTGGCAGAGCTTTCCCCACCCTTCTTGGGTGCGAGGGTTGGTGTCTTGTGCATGAGTGTGTCTTGCTACAGCCCCATGGGTGAAGCTATGCTCACCTGTTCCTTTGTGATATAACCCCTTGCCCTGTTTAGGATAGAATCTTCCATGGAAGTGCCTCGTGTATATCCCCTTCTCTTACTGTGCCCTTGGTTGTGGCCTACCCAGGTGTCAGTCAACCTGCTGACAGTGGACATCATGAAGATAGACTCAGCCCCCTGAAGCCTGACCCTTTGCCTCATTTAAATAACCTCTCCTCAATAAAAGGGGTCAGCGCATGCTCTCGCTCTCTCTCTTTCTGCGGACCCTTAAGGTCAGAGGAGCCGTTACAGCGACCCCAAAGAAAAAGGTATTTGTGTCTCTTGTGTGGTTATTTTGTGCAGCCCAGTTAGCCAGGTTTAACTGGAGTGACCCCTGAGCCTTTTAGTCGCAAGAACAGAAACCCGGCACTCTGTCACTGATGGCACCTCAGCCCTGGTGAAGTCATCCTTAAGGACAACACAAGTGAGTGAAAAGCAAACCAGTCTGCAGACTTGACAGGCGCCCGCCTCAGGGCTCCCAGGGCACATCTGACTAAACCAGGGGCCTTCGGAAGATGCTGTCTAGTCAGCAAGACTAACCCAAGGGTGAGCCAGTGCCAGGCCTCTCCATACAGGGACCAAGCCCTAGGCTTGCAGTGAGCAGTGACTGACCTGCAAATGGACGAGGGTTGGCCCTGAGAAAGAGACCTGAGACCTGCCACAGAACCAGGTGCGACCACACCCAGGAAATCAGGGCAGGGAGGCTGGGCACAGAGCAGCAGCAAGGGTCCCCGGGGCTGCCACTCAACACTACACATGGGTCTCAACTTAGGCACCAGAGAGGGAACTCAGCAAGGGTCCCCAGGGCTGCCACTCAACACTACACATGGGTCTCAACTTCTTCTGGACCCAGAAAGCAAACAGCCCTGGTGACACAGCTTTCCTTCTAAGGACTCTCTACCATCCCCAGGAATAGCAACATCTGAGTGCTGTGAACAAGAAAATCAATTTCCTGTCTTCAAACAAACCCCTCCACAATTAAGAAAGGAGCTGCACACTGGCAAACTGTGCATCTTCTTGTCCAAAGGCAGAGCTGGGCACAGGCCATTTGTTTTCCTGGCAGTGAACCTCAGAGTAGATAATCACCACATGCTTTCTCCACAAAGAAACAGAAAGATCAAATAATCCCAATTCTGGGTCATTCATTTCAAATAACTAAAGAAAACTACTATTGGGCATGGTGGCACATACCTGCCACCATGAAAAGAAAAGAAAAAAAAAACTACTAAAGAATGTAAATTAATCATTCATATTGAGTGAAATATTAAAAATGGACTGTGCTACGATCACCAATGGATGGAGGTGGCTATTAGAAAACTACCATGAAAACATCAAATATGGATTAGRGCTGAGGCTCAGCAGCAGAGAGCTTGCCTAGCACATGTGAGACACTGGGTTGGATCCTCAACACCACATAAAAATAAAGGTATCCTGTCTATCTACAACTGCAATAAAAAAAAAAAATCAATATGACTGTCACCTACGAGCAGCCAAAGTCTGCCAACAGCTAAAAACGCACATGACTCCCTGTTCTCATTACTACCATATTTCCAAATGGAGAGAAAGAACAAGTCTCTCTGCAACAGCTAGAAGCGCACCTGTGTGAGCCACTCAAATGCATCCCGGCCTGCCTGAAAAGCCAGTCATTTAACCAGGCCGCTCAGCTTGGGCAGAAAAAAAGGAGAACCTGCATCCTTAAATCAATGACAAGTCACACTTGGTCTAGGCCTGAGTTTACCAGACCCACAGAATTAGGAGTCTCCGTCTGGTTGTGCCCAGAGTTCCCTGGCCACCTGTCACAGCAGCACTCCCTTCTCCCAGTCACAAGGAGCCTGGAGACATGTCAGGCTCAGGCCTAGACAACGGCACCATGTCCACTGGCCAGCTGCCCAGGATGCCCCTTCAGGATGGTGTATCCAGCTGGGCTGGYCACTGCCAGGACACCTCCAGATGGTGGATCCTGACAGTAGTCACCCTGCACCTGAGATCACTGGGGTGAACAGTCCACCCATCAGGTGAGCAGGTACAGACATGGCAGCTTCCACTCAGCTGAGAAGCAGTTGTGCTGCCAGGCTGGCTCTTCATACAGGTGCTGGCTTCATATGGACAGGCTTGTGGCTGGACAGACAGATAGCCACAAGCCTGTCCACTGATGAGATCTGGCCTGTGAATCCGAAGAGCTGATCAGTGTTGGATTCTAACACTCTTCCAGAACACTGTGTTGATCATAAGGGGCTCTAGAGACAGACATCAGCTGCCCCTCCGGCCAGTATGTGCTTAGTTATAGACCCTGAATAATGTGTCCCTGCCTCCTAGGACCGAGGACTGGAGCAGGCTTCACAGGCTCCAGCTTCCACAGAAATGTCCAGGGTTAGGAGGGAGAAGCAAGAGGCATTTCAAGGAGTCTCCACAACAGAGTTTTTATCACAGACTGCAAAAGTAAAGACTAGAGCCCCAAGCAGCATGCTGCTGACACTGGGAAGGTCAGGGGCAACTACAAAGCCATGCGCCTCTTCTGCACCTGCTGGCAGCTCCTGCACATTCAGGGCAGCCAGGGAAGCTGTCTGAAGTCCCACCAAGAAAACTGAAGTATCTAAACCCGTCAAGTTCAGAGCCTCACAGTACGCCTCCCCAGAAGCAGAGAACATGAGACAATGTACTCCGTATTGAGGGAATGGGAAAGGGACAGAAGGACTCCTCCACTTGCCCAGTAGAAACTACATTTGTGGTTAACTGGGGGGAAACCCTAACACAAGTCTGAGTTGGCTTAAACAAGGATTCTTAAATAGGCACAACCTGATGCTGCTGGACAAAGTGAGCCATCTAAGCCAGTGCCACCAACCGACTCTCTTCAGCCAGTGTGTATCACAGGCCTCCAGGAGGGAGGGGAAAGACAAACTGATGACTGACAGGCTGGAGAACACTACTGGTGTGCCTTCCTACGTACAACCAACCAGCAGCCAAGACAAAAACAGGCATCAGGCCTAGTGGACAGCTCCTCCTACCAGCTAGACCTCAGGAAACTCACACTTCCACTGTGCCTTGGCTTCTCCACCTGAGCCTAGAAGCTACCATTCAATGAGGCAGCCACGGCTTTTCTGATAGACTAACACAGGAGGCCTGCAGACTAAGAGCTAAGGACAGCACCTGCACACTGCTACCTTCCTTAGCTGTTCCCCGTTTGTGGAAAACAAAACCCAGAGTCCAGGCAGTCTCCAGTGAGGGTGCACACCATGGTGTGCACAAGGGCACTCAGATCACAGTGACACCGATAATGGCCATTCCTTTTCTATATAACACTGGTCCTGTGAGTTACCAGTATATACTATAAAGAAGTCACACGCCCTCAGTGAGAATTCCTCCAGGAAGTCAGATTATGCCAAAAGGAAATCAGACATCTGATCTTGACATCTCAATAAAACAGATATTGTCTTTGCAGGTAGAAGTTGTTAAACAACCTTGTGGAGCCTTAAAAGCAACCAGTCAGGTCCTAATGAGCCTAGGAGACCTAGGCCCTTCCCAAGGCAAGCCACAAGGGAGCCCACACACAGCAGAGGGGAAAGAAGGGCTCAAAGGGGAAAGACACTACAGAATTCGGAACAACAACAAAAATGCTCTTGTGCATGTTATGCCCAGAGGCTGTGGCCTGGGATATCAACAGCCCGACTTCAATGAATGAACCGTCCAGAGGCAACGCGCGGCTTGCAGAGGCCCCAGGTCATTTACCGGAGGGAGTCACCGGGCAGGCACAGAACTGGGTGTCCGTGCAGATGCAAGGGGCCTGCCCTTCCTTCTCCCAGGTGGAACTCGTAGGGAGAAGACCTGGAAACCAGACGTGCAGCCGGCGGGCTCCCGCAGGAGGTGTCCACGTCCACGAGTCGCCCTCGCCCCTCGCAGCCTCCTCCCTCCACATCGCCCGCCTTCTCCAGGCCCTCCTCCACCCGCCTCCTCCCTCCCCGCCGCCCGCCTTCTCCTCCCGCAGGCCGCCTTCTTCCCTTCCCCCCTCCTTCTCCCTCCCCCCGCCGTAGCCCGCCTTCTCCCTTTCCCCCACCGCCCACCTTCTCTCTTCCCTCACCCCCGCAGCCCGAGGGCGTCACCACAGCGGGCCCACTCACCGCACTCAGCCGGGTACTGGTCCGTCCAGTCCCCCGACTGCGGGCAGCCGCCGCCCGCCGCGGCGTCCTGCTGCTGCCGGTGCTGCAGCTCCTGCTTGAGCAGGGACAGCGGCGAGTAGTGCTCTGTAGCCCGCGCGCAGCCCAGCCCCGCCAGCAACAGCAGCAGCAGCGGCAACAGCGGCGGCGGCGGCGGCACCCGGGCCCCCGCGCAGACCCGGCAGCCGCAGCCGCGGCTGGCAGGTGCCATCTTCGCGCACGGCGCAGGCGCGGCGCGCCGGGCGGGTGGGCGCGGCACCGCGGCCTCACCCGCCGCGAGTGGTACTCGCGGCCGCGCGCCCCGGCCCGCGCATGCGCGTAGATTCTGCGGACTTCCGGAGCGGCGTCGTGACTTCCGCCCGGGACCGGAAGGGCACCCGTGGCCATGGGAACGGGCGGGCGCAGCGGTCCGCGGCCGGCTAAGGGCGCTGGGGGCGCCGTCTTGGGCCCCTGCCGGTACCGCTGCATCGAGTGCAACGAGGAGGCGCGGGAGCTGTACCGGGACTACCGCCACGGMGTTCTGAAGATCACCATCTGCGTGAGCGCGGCCGGGCGGCGGCGGGGCCTCGGGTCGGGGACGCAGACTCCGTCTGGCCAGCGCGCGCCTTCGGCAGTGCCTGGAGGACTCGGAGGACGTTCCACTTGAGTGGCGGGTGGGGTGGCAGCACTTGGGGAAAGGCCAGTGCTGGAGGGCGAGCGAGGGCAAGTGAGCTCTGACGCTGTAGCCCCGTTGGTCGGCGGCTGCGATGGGGAGGTGGACGGCCACGCAAGTAGGGTGGCGCTGGGCGCAGCCCTTTCTGGGCCCCTGTCATGGGGGGTATGCTTATCTTCCCCTGGCAAACTCTAAGGTCCTGGGGGCTAGAGACAGTGGCCCCAGGTCGTCCGGCGTCTTGGATGTGGCTGATCTCAGAGTGACTGAGAAGGAGCTCTTGCTAGGAACGCACAGCCGCTCTCAGAGTGACTGTCGCTTGAAGGAGTGGGTGCACTAGGAGCAGGAGCTTGTGCCGCCTGCTGCTGGTGTCTGCTGGCCTACTTCTAAAGATGGGGTTTAGAGAACTTCTGAAGGACAGGCAGGGACCCATTTAGAAATGCAGGAGCATTCCACCATGAAGGGAGGACATGAGCTCCGCAGGAATAGCATGGGAGGGGTCTATGAGAGAACCTTGCCTGTGAATCTGGGGTTGTCAACTCTAGCTTCTGTTTAAAGCTGACACTATTTGCTCAGGTAGAGAGCCGCAGAAATATGAACTCCTGCCAGGCACAGTGGCCTGTGCCGTAATCCCAGGTCCTTGAGAATGGCAGAGGCAGAAGCAATGCAAATTCCTGGCCACCCTGGACAACTTAGCAAAACTGTCTCTAAGTAAAATGTTTAAAAGGGTTAGGATTGTAGCTCAGTGGTATGGCACCCCTCCAGCATGTGCTAGGTCCTGGGTTCAGTCTCCAGCCCCATAAAATCATTCATTCATTCGTTCACTATGACTTCCCGGCCTCTGTTTCATTGGTTGGATTTRAGTTTGGGGAGTGGCACATCTTCCTTGCTGATTTACTTGGGGATTGGACAAACAAGCCTATTTCTTGTAATGACATGAATGAAGTAGAGAAGCTCTTCAAATTGGAATTGAATCCAAGTTCGTATTGAAGCACAGGATTAATAATCTTCTAGTGTTTTGGTGTAACTAAAAGGCCATCCCAGTGTGTTTGTATGTGTTTGTTGCTTCTTCTTCCATTTCTGTTTTATCTAGTCAGAGTTTCAAAATGTCTCATTTGAATTGTAGCCACCATTCTTTTTGCAGTGAATTGTAGCACTGACATAGCTTTGTAATTAGCACTGCATCACAAGTCCATGTTCTGCTRGTACTGGATGTGACTACATTGTAGTCAGGTGTCCAGAGAACCCAACTCTATTGAACCTGGTGATCTTTGTGGAAGGCCATTTAGCAGCACATGCTATGGACCCAAGAAAGCAGTGATTGGTGACCTAGGCCCAGGCCACACACCCCTCTTCTCAGAAGCTGAGTAAAGAACAGGACACCATGCCAAGAATCCTGAGCCAACGGGCCCGGGGAAGCCTGGGTATTCCTTGTCAGCACTGAGAACAGGAAGGAACATGGGCTCTCTGCTACAGTAGAGAGGGCGAAGGGTCCTGCGCAGCCTGGAGTGAGACCATGGCTGAACACCCTTCTCCAAATCATGTTTCAGGACCACAACACTGGGGCCATCAAGCCAATGGCAACAGTCGATCAGCGAAGGACACTATAGGGTTGTCTTTTAACAATTCCTATAGATCAAAGGTAGAATTGAAAGTAGAATCTTCTGGGAATTAGCCTTTAAGTTGACTATCTTTTAGCTTCCCAAATATGATGTTAAAATTCATATTTCTAGCCTAGAAACTTATATTTAGTCCCTTGTAAAGCCACATCTTACATATAGGAACATTTTTATCTGAATGGAAGTATACCTAAATGTGGATGTGGCCTTATTGCTCTACAAGTTTAAAAGTCCACTAAGATTTCTGAATGTATAAATTTGCTTGTTCTAACATTATCTTGTGTTATTTCAGAAATCCTGCCAAAAACCTGTAGACAAATACATTGAGTATGATCCTGTTATCATCTTGATCAATGCTATTTTGTGCAAAGCCCAGGCCTACAGACATATACTTTTCAATACCAAAATAAATGTGAGTTGTGGAAGTTTTTTAATGTTACTTGGTGATGCTTTTGAATTTTGAAAGACTAAAGTGTAAGAAATTCTGACTGGAGTATGGATCTTTTCTCACAATGGCTGGAAAAATTTCTAGAATTAACAGATGTGGATGCACTGCATGGTGTGAGCTTTGGCCACTGGCAGGATTCAAACAATTAGTTGTGATGGCTCTCAGTGGGCTACCTAGTGAATGGGTTCTCAACAGAATGAAATCAAACAGCTGGGTAGGGAAAGAATCATACCTAAGAGAAATAAACAAACATTAAAAGAAAACTATGAAAAACATAATTTGTTCCATTTCACACTAAGGAAATGTATGAGGTGAATAACAAAATTGAGTTGTTAGGAAAGTCCTAACTTTTAAAGTAGTTTTCAAAACATAATCTAGTGTATTGCATGGTAAACGCATGAGTAGTTTGAGTAGGATTGATGGGTAAAATACAGGACACTCAGTACCTTTGAAAATCAGAAAAACAAAGAAAAGTATGTACCAAATGTTGCATGGAACACACTTGTACAAATTAYTTGTTGTGTATATGAAACCTAAATTTAACTGGGTGTCCTATATTTTCATTTATTTGATTTAGCAACCCTAAATTTGCCCTAAGGTAGATATTAACAATTGATTTATCCCTGCCCCATCCCACAGCTGAGTCGCCAGAGCATTGATTCTCAGCCTCGGCTGCACATTTAGGACCATCTGGTTGGCCAGTGGAAAGGGAAACATTCCAAGGCCTCCTGGCATCTGCGTGGTCACAGCTCCCCAGGGGTTCCAGGCATCCCTGTGCCCATTGAGAGCCTCCAAACATGCTGGACTCGAGCATGGGTCACACTGGTTGGCATAGGGGCAGAGGCTCGATTCCTAGGAGGAGCCGGGAGGGGGCAGTTCTTACTGCTCAGTAGTCCCTGTTGACCATCAGACATTCAGCTTAGTTTTCCTTTTAACCGTTTTCTTTCAGTATTGATTTGTATTCATCCATCCAGAGGCCTTTTTTTTTTTTTTTTTCATGTTTAGACCAACAGTTCCTTATGTGCTGCTTGGAACCTTCAGATTAAATGTATTCTCTGACKGTTGTCTGCACCTATATGTGGGTCACATAAATTTTGTGTCAAAAATGTAACAAATGGTGAGCTATTTAAATCAATGATTCTTATGTATATGTTAGAGTTCCCCTAAGAATTGCTATAAAATATACACGTCTAGGTTTTAGTATCAAAGATTCTGACTTAGGACTGTGGCCCTGATATTSTTAAATTGAAAAAAACTCCCTATGTGATTCCAATGGCCATTGCTGATTAGGAACCTCTGAATTGGATCCTAGCACAGTGGCTCATACCTATAATCCTAGCTGCTTGGGAGGCTGAGGCAGGAGGATTGTGAGTTCAAAGGCCGCCTCAGCAGATTAACGAGGCACTTAGCAACTTRGCAAGACTCTGTCTCTAAATAAAATATAAAAAAGGGCTGGGGATGTGGCTCAGTAGTTAAGTGCTCCTGGGTTCAATCCCCAGTACCCCCCGCCAAAAAAAAAAAAAATAGGGCTGGAGGTGTGGTTCAGTGGTTGAGTGCCCCTGAGTTCAATCCCTGGCACCCCCACCCCCAAAAAAGGACCTGTGATTTAGGATAGGGCTGTAGCTAATGGCAGAGCGCTTGCTTCCCTGGCACATGTGAGGCACTGGGTTTGACCCTTAACACCACATAAAATAAAATAAAGGCATGCTATTCTTCTCTAACTACCAAAAAAAAAAATTAAAAATAAATAAACCAAACCTCTGATTTGCTGAGCACAGTAACACACACCTATAATCCTAGTGACTTGGGAGTCTGAGGCAGGAGGTTTGCAAGTTTGAGGCCAGCCTCAACAAATTAGCAAGACCCTATTTAAAAAAAAAAAAAAATAGGCCAGCGGTAGGTAGCTCAATGGTAAAGCACCCCTGGGTTCGATCCCCAATATCACAAAAGAGCCACTGATTTTCAGAATAGCTACAACTGGCCACTTTATTGGGCAGTTCTGGATTTGAAAATGGTCCACAGGGGACAGTCTTCAAACCTACAGCTGTACCTATAGATACTCAGTATAACTGAGTGCTTCTTTACCTGATTGAGTGGCATTGTCTTTGACCTTTAGATCCATGGAAAACTCTGCATGTTTTGCTTGCTTTGYGAAGCATACCTGAGGTGGTGGCAGCTTCAAGATTCAACCCAGAACACTGCTCCTGATGACTTGATCAGATACGCCAAAGAATGGGACTTCTATCGGATGTTTGCCATTGCTTCTTTAGGTAAGGAGACGCCTACCTTTCCATTCTTATAAACCTAGTACTTAACTATTTTGGCACTGTGGTGCATTCCTGTTATCTCAGCAGCTCAGGAGGTGAGACAGGAGTTCAAAGCCAGCCTCAGCAACTTAACAAGTCCCTAAGCAACTTAGTGAGACCTTGTCTCAAAATAAAAAGGGCTGGRGATGTTGCTCAGTGGTTAAGCCCCCCTAGGTTCAATACCTGGTACCAAAAAACAAAACTAAGACAAATGGTTTTAATCCTTGGCAAGAGAGATAGTTAATATAGCACCTGAGACTAAATTTTCAGCTCTACCACTACCCTGCTAGGTGAATTCATCTAAATCACCTACTTTCTTATTTGTTAACAAATGTGCATAGGAATAGTCATATTTAATATTAGAAAGTTTCATAAAATGTTTTGAAACGTTGATAAAAGTTGTAATTTTAAATTTCTGATTATCTAATTTGAAGATTATTAAACCCCATCTTTATTAAAAAACAGACTGACATTACCCAATGCATTAGCCAGCTGCTTAGTACTAATGCAATATATTGAACAGGGAAAGCTTGCAACTTAACTGCCTTGTTCCTTGGGGAAATTGGCTAACCTGCCCGCCCCTAACACATTTATGTTTGGAAAGTTCTTTCTTCAGCATCAGATTTGTGACTTGTCCTTCTAGGGTCAGAATTATGTGAAATTGATTTCTGTGGCTATTTTCATACTAATTTCTATGATTCTCTGCTGCTAAATCCTTCAATTAAAGCTGGGCACAGGCACCAACTAGAGTACCAGCTTCTCAGACAATTGAGGCCAGAAGATCACTTGAGCCCAGGAGATCAAGGCAGCCTGGGCCACACAGTGAGACCCCCTATTTTAAAAAAGAGTTTTGGCTGGGCACATTGGCACAAGCCTGTAATCGCATGCCTGTAATCCCAGCAGTTTGAGAGGCTGAGACAGGAGGATCGTAGGTTCAAAGCCAGCCTCAGCAACAACGAGGTGCTAAGCAACTCAGTGAGACCCTATTTCTAAATAAAATAAAAATACTGCTGGAGATGTGACTCAGTGGTTGAGTGCCCCTGAGTTCAATCCCTGGTCCCCCCTCCAAAAAAAAAAAAGGAACTTTAAAAGTGATAATAATAGATAAATCCTTTGACTATAACGAACATCATTTTAGTGGTATGAAGTCTCCAGTCCATTCCGATGTCGCATTTCTGGCCTGTGTGTCCTCATCATCACTCCCTTGGTCTTCTCATCTGCCTACTCAGAATTCCCAAGTGTCTGTCTCTAATCTAGACCTTCCTGAGCCTACCCTGTCCCTCTGCCTTCTCAGCACCCTGAAGCCTTCCACCACACTTCTCAGTACCTTGGTCAACTTTTTCACTACTGTAACCCAAAGACCTGACAAGAACAGTTAGAGGAGGAAAAGTTTATTTTGGGGCTTACAACTTCAGAGGCCTCCATCCACAGCCAGCCAGCTCCATTCCTCAGAGCTTGAGGTGAGCCAGAAAGAACATCATGGCAGATGTGTGTGGCCGAGGAAAGCAGCTGGGAACATGGCTCCAGGAAGCAGAGAGTTTGGCTCAACAAGCACAAAACATATACCCTGGAGGCATGCCCCAGTGACACAGCCTGCCGGCTCTCAGTCACCACCAAGTGAATCCCTGTCAGGGGATTGATTTGCTGATTGGGTTAAGGCTATCAAAACCCAATCATTTCACCTCTCAATTTCTTACCCTTGAACTTTTGGGCAACACCACACATCTAAACCTGCTTTAATATGACACATGTTCCAGAGGAGCCTGATTCTGGAGGTATAACACAGCTCATGGGGGAAAAGAGAGCTAAGGACAGACCACTCAGAATGCATGTGGGTAGGTAAGCAGAAGATTAACAGTCCTACCCACAGCAGTCACACAAGTGAGGCCCCATTGGGCAGGGACTGACAGATGGTGCAGTCCCATGGCCCTGGGATGCCAGGGCAGCTGCTGCCTCCTCTAATCTGGACTCCATATTTTAAGAATATTTTCTAGAGTATAAGGAATTGCATTCAGACATATTATTAAAATTAATAAAGGAAGTCTTTTAATTTAGGTAACAAAACATTCCAAGTCTTGTCAATGCCTAGTGGGAGAACAGACCAAAACAGTGCTTGCAGGGGCCTCAGAGCAGCTCCAGGCCTCGGACCTGGCAGCCTTCCTTGGCCATTTGACTCCCCCTGCCCAGAAGCCTTCACAGAGTGGGTTACCACCGTCTCTCAAGGCTGCTTTTTTTTCAGGGGACATTGACAGGCTTGGTTAGAGTCCGTTGACATGTATTTGTTGGCTCCTGCTGGCCAGGTGAGAGATAAAGGCCAGGGCTACAGGGAGAAAGAGGGTCTGGTATTGTGGAAACATTCCTGTGGAGTCAGGGGATCTGTTGTAGTTTGGAATTGAGGGTTGCTTGTTTGAGGGTGTAGTTTGGATGGAGATATTCAGGGGATTAGTCATAGCCTGGAATTGAGGGTTGCTTGTTCTGAGGTGTAGTTTGGATGGATATACATGTTTTCATTTCTCGTTTCCTCCCAGAACAGACTGCCTTTTTCATTGGCATTTTTACTTTCCTGTGGGCAGAACGACCCAGGACAACAAAGAGAAAGCCCCACTTTATTTTGTTGCTTAAAGCGCTGCTGTTGTCAAGCTACGGGAAGCTCCTGCTGATCCCGGCTGTCATCTGGGAGCATGACTACACTCCTCTGTGCCTCAAGCTCATCAAAGTGTTTGTGCTGACATCAAACTTCCAGGCGGTCAGAGGTAAGCTTCTGCTCTGCTCCTCCGCCTCCGCCTCCCTCCCACAGGGATGGTGAAGCCTCGCTTCTGGGCCTTCAGAACCCTGTGGTTGCTTCTGGGGCCTCAGCAGACCAGCGCGCCTGTAGTCCCTTGTGCAGGTGGGTGCTCAGGATTCATTCACTGTGACCAGGTGCCCTCCTCTGCCCTCCCCCTGTCCTGTGAAACTCGTGGGTGGCCTTTGTTGCATTACTTTTATGAATGAGTTCACAGGACTGCAAGGGCTGAGTGGCATGGCGAGAGTTAACAAGGCCAGGCAGTTGCCACCCCAGGATGCATGCCAGGCATGGGCATCCACAGCAGGCAGCACCTGCCACTCCAGGAAACATGTCTCCACTTCTTCCTGTCACCGTTTTAATGACTGTTCTCTGATGCTGTTACCATCATGCTTACCCTCTTGCAAATKTGACCTTGAGACTATGGTTCTTCTCTGTTGCTCTCTTTAGAACCCGGGAGTCTGCTTTTTGTTTTTCCAAATGTTGATGAGACTCTGACTCTTGATTCTCTCAAAGGCTTGCTGATGGAAGTGCTAGAGAAGGAAGCAAGCAGAGAAATATAAACAGTGTACATGAAAGAACATCTTTGCCAAACAGCTCACACCCACAGAATTCACATTCCAGTGTCATTGAGACTCCTAAGACTGTGTTGACTGCCTCTTCTTTCGCAGTGGCCCTGAGCATCAACCGGAAGCTGTCCCTGCTGGCCATCCTGAGTGGCTTACTGCTGGAGAGCTCCATGGTGTGCCTCTTCCAGAGGCTGGAGTGGGACGTCAGCAGCGACTGCGCCATCTATAAGTCCCAGGACTTCTGAAGGTACGGGCGGCCTCAGGCCTTCCCAGCCTAGGCAGCCTGCACCACCTGGGCACCTCAAGTCTACAGCCCGTGGCTCTGGACCCTTCACTCGGGTCCATATGCCCTCTTCCTAACAGCAACGTCCCTGCTTGCATTATCTTGGGTCCTGCCCTCACAGAGCAGGGCCTGCCCTGGAGCTTAGCCTCTGCAACTGCCTGCAGCCCTCTCCTACCCTGCACAGCGAGTCCCCTGCCTCCCCACCTGCTCTTCGCTGCCTTTCTTGCCTTGTCCCTTCACTTCCTCCTTTTCTCTGCTTTTGGCCTACTCTGCCCCTGTTCGCTCATACCTAGAGCCTGTAAGCAGTGACCAAGCAGTGCTGTTGGCCCTGAGCACTTCCTGGCCTTTGTCCTCTGTTGTGTGGCCTCCTAGAGGCTGTCTGGGTGAGCCTCGCCATCTGCTTCTACACAGGGTGTGCCCCTTCAGCACAGGAGTTCTGCGGACAGACCTCTGGGTGCTCCTCTGTTCTCGTGGCATCTCCAGGGCCTCTCACTGGAGGGCCTGACCCCTGCCATGTACCCCTCACCCATACCGGCCTCCTCTGGCTAAGGACTAAGGTGGTGGGAGCCTGGGCTCTGCATCCAGAGCACCGCCAGCCCTTGTGCTCTGCCCAGGTGCTCACCTGTCTCCCCAGGGCTATCTGTGGCTGGTGCTGGGAGGTGCATCCTGGGGAGCAGCCATGTCCATGCCACACTTCTGGGGAGTCCAGGTAGTACATTGCCCCTTCCTTGTCCTATCATGTCCACCTGGCGGGTGACCGCCATCTGCTGCYGCAGCCCTCCTGACACCCCACTTCATCTGGTGGCCTGCGTCTCCGCCTGTTCTGCTCTTTTCACCCTCTCCTGCAGGTAGCTGTGGCTTCAGCTGCCCTTCTCCTCCATGGGGCGTCTTTCCTCTGCCCACTACCTGTGCCCAGCAGTTGGCCTCAGCCTGCCCCTTCCCCACGCTCACGACTCCTGTATAAAATGTGCTTTCTCAGGCACAGTACACACACCTGTAACCCCAACCACTCCAGAGCCTAATATGGGCTGTTGTAAGTTTGAGGATAGCCTCCAAGATTTAAAGAGACCCTGTCTCAAAAATTAAAGAGCTTGGGATGTGGCTAAGTGGTAAAGAGCCTCTGGATTCAATTCCTAGGACCAAAAATAAATGAATAAAAGAAAGAAAGTTTTTTCTCCCAGAGTCTCGGGAACTCCGTGGCCTTAAACTTCCCAGGGCAGCTGGCTGCTGGCTKCTCTTCAGGGTCTTGCTCCTTCTGAAGCAAACCTCCCTCTCCCCTTCTGCCAGGTCTCCTGCCCTGAGTGCCTGCTCTGCCCTCGGTCCTCTTCCTGTCTCTTATGTGCACCTCTGTGCATGTTCCTTCCAGGGCACCCTGCCAGCTCTTCCTCTTGCCAGGTGACTGGGCACTGTCCACTGCTCCTATGTAATGACCAGATGGGCCTTTCTTCCATTTCCTAAGGTCAACTAGCCTGAAACTGAACTCCCTGGGATCTGTGTCCCCCAAAATAATGCTTGCCTGACAGCTTTCCTCAGGCAGTGCCCCTCCCGTCTCACTCTGCCTCCTGTCTAAGGCCTTCACCTGCTGGTGCCACCTCAGTCCTCCCAGAGCACAAGGCAGGGGTGCCCCCCACCCAGTCTCCCATCACCTCTTCCTGCTGACCTAGGAGCACCACATCTTTGGTTTCTTCTGGGACGGGGCAAGGCCCTGGCACTGCCCACTGAGGTTCCTCTCCACRCTCAACCCCCTGCAGGTCTGCTCTCCAGCGCTGCTGCTGCCCCAGGAGCCACGCCGGGCAACTGCACTCCTGCTCACTGGTGCCTGCCCACCCGCGGCAGCTGTGTTCCCAGGATTGCCTGGACCAACTCAATGCTGGCATTTTGTCCCATTTCACAAGTGTTTCTACTTGTCACTGTCAGTATGATTCACAGTTGGGGAAGCCCTGTCCTGCGGTACGTCATCTCCCATCTGCACCCAGGCTCCTGCTGCCCTGCCCTCTCTCAGGGTGCTCTGGGAGGCCCTGTGGCAGCCTCTCCCGGACTGTCAGCCGCACGTGCCTTTCTTCTGCCATCTGTGGAAAGCAGGACCGAAGCCAAGCTCTGTCCTGATGAACAAGTGAAGCAAAGATAAGAGGCGGAGATGTGGAGTAGAAGCCCTCGTGCCCCAGCCCGCCGGCCAAAAGGTCCACTCCTGAGCCCCACACAGGGCAAGGTTTCATCCCTTGGAGTGGTCATGTCTTTTCAATTGAAAGTTAAGTTACTGGCTTAAAATGATGATATTTTGTGTTCTTGAAACAGCAGAAACACTTTCCTCTTAATAAAAGTCTTTCAACTGAATTTTTAAAAATTTTCAATGTACTGACTAAATTACTTTTTTAAATTGGCAGATGCAGGGCTGGGGATGCAGCTTAGGGCAGGGTAGAGGGCTTGCCTTAGTATGTGTGAGGTCCTGGGTTCAATCCCCAACCCTGCAAAAAACAAAAGAAGTTTGGGGTTCTAGCTCAGTAAAGCACATGCATGTCCACATCCTGGGTTCAGTCCCCAGCYGCTTTCCGCCCAAAACAAGCAAGCACTGTGACACACTGATAGTAGGTTACAGACTGCTGGTTGACACCATCCACTTCCAAATCCATGCTCCATACCCCCCATCTTTCTTGATCACCACAAAGGTATTTGCTTATCTTTAAAAGAATAGATAACTACTAAATTATTAAGACCACCTCCTTGGTGTCAGTGAGCAGCAATTGGCCAAAGGCTGTGGAACTTCAGGTAGAGTTGGCCTGGACCCATCTCTGACTGAACTTCAGGTGCCAATAACACCATGTGAGGAAAGAAAGGCAAGACTAAGAAAATTAGGGAAGTGGGTCACTGTCCCCACACCTAAGCCCCAGGGCTCATACTGCCTCTGCGCTGGTGGCAGCCTTGGTTTTCCAGCATTTTTTTATGAAAAATTTTAGGACAGTTGAATAAATAGTACAGTGAGGACACCCATGTCCAGCCCTGCACATCACAGCCATTCATTTTGCCCCAATTTCTTTTTAAAATTCAGAGGCTAGGCATAATTGCCCAGCTAGTTACTCTGGGAAGTTACCAGTGGCGATATTTGGTGCCTTAGTTTGATGTCTATTTTCCGTGCCTCTGCCACCACCACCCCAAAATTGAGATGTGATCTAACAACAGCACAAATATACTTACATGAAAATCCACTTTAAAGATACAAAATTAAGGGGCTGGGGCTGTAGCTCAGTGATAGAGCACTAGCCTGGCACGCGTGAAGCACTGGGTTCTACTTTCAGYACCACATAAAAATAAAAGGTATTTGACCATCTACAACTAAAAAAAAATTGTTTTWAGTATTTAAAGAAAGAAAAAGATACAAAATTAAGTCACTTTTAGATATTCTTCCTTTATTAAAAACCATGAGCACTCCAGCCACCTGGAAGTCCTGCCTAGTCCACAGCCATTGACGAGCTGTCCTGCAAATGGACGGAGTCCACTGCTTGCTCTTGAGTCTCAGGAGAGCTGAGAACCAGCGGAGGAAATGCACGGGAGGCGCACATGGCAGGCAGGCTGACACAGCCGTGGAGATGGACAGGGGCCTTTTGTTAAAGGCTTCCTCCAGCAGTGTTTGGAGCCTCTGAACCATATTGGGGAGAAAACAACATGGTGTATGTTTGAGCCAAAGAAAGAATATTGCAGCTATTACAAGACAGAGGCATGAATCAGGAAACCCAAAGACAGTTTTTATAACCAGTCTTAGAATGGCTAAGGGACCTGCTCAAGGTCTCAAGTGACCAGATTGGGTCCTTTCTAGTCAGTGCCTAGGCTAATACAGGGCCCCTAATGTTGGCCTGTTGGTAGTCTAATGGTGGCTCTCTGAGGGTTGGTATGAAGAAGGAATGCTTACCTGTGGGAGGCCATCCTCGCATGTGATTTGAGTTACCTCCCTGGCTGGGTGAGAGGTGCTTAGACACAGCTGTGTCAGAGCTTTCCCCATCCTTTTCCAGGTCCGAGGGCTTTTCCATGCAGAGGCGTGTCTGGCTACTTTCTCGAAGACCCAATAGTCGCCCCTGACTTTGGGATGCTGCCCCCCTTAACATTCATTGGATGGGACTTTCCCTGGAATTTTTTGTTGCCCAATAAAAGTCGACTCCCTGTCATGTCCTCTCTCTCTCTCCTCGCTACCGCATTGGGTGGCTGGAGCTAGGAKAAGCCGTCCTGGAGCTGGTTTTAAAGGTAATTAGAGTCTTGTCTCTTTAATTTAAAATTCCCTAGCGTTTTACTCATGATTCRAACCTTCTTTAATGAAACCAGGGCTGGTCGCTTGGCAGACTTASCGGTCTTCAAATATAGTACAGGAAATAAAGGATAAAAGAACTCTTTCCTCCTATTTTTGTGCTGGGGACTGAACCCAGGCGTGCTATACACTGAGCTGCACTCGAKCCCTTTTACTTTTTTGAGACATGGTCTCACAAATTTGCTGAGACTGGCCTACAACTTATGATCTTCCTGACTCAGCTTCCTGAGTCCCTGGGATTACAGGGGTATGCCACTGGGTACAGCTAAAAGGGTTTTTAAAAAATGGGGAACTCCAATAACTGGAACCACATCTAAATAGGGTTAGGCTCTGACAGCCCCTTTTCTGCAGGAACGCCTGAAACCCTTGAAGGTTACAATATGCCTTTCTGATATCTAACCATAACGTGTCATTCTAAAATTGGGAACAGATTCATAAGGGGAAAGTTTTTAACTTAAGACTAAGTCTCAAATATTCTCTGGCTCCTGAAGGCCAACAGAGGRAAAATAGAACCAAAGCAAAAGACCTGGCTGCCCCAAACAGGATTCTACTTCCTTACTTCTACCTAATGACTGGTATACTGCTTTGTGCCAGGCACCACTCAGAAGCCACAGCAATGACCACACTGCGTTTCTTAAAGCCACCCGTGATGCTCCCATCCTGGAGGCAGAAGTCCAGAGTCGGTTTCACTGGGCCCAGTCAAGGTGTCGGCAGAGCCAAGCTTCCTCTGGAGGCTCAGGGAGAACCTCGGCTTCCTCGCTGCTGTCGCCCCTCACCCTCAGCTAGCTGCTGCAGCACTCCACCTCTCCCACCCCCACAGGGCACCCCAGCRTGTGTCAGTTGTCCCTCTACTTCCCATAAGGCACCTGTGATGGCACTGATGACCCACATTGTAATGAGAACAATCTTCCCATATCAAGACTGCTGAAGACCCTGCAAAGGCCCTTCCACCAGATAAGTTCCCGTCTACAAGTTTCTGAGACTCCTTGGACTAGGCATCTTTGGGGGACCAGTTTTCAACCTGCCACAAAGCCATCTGGCTAATAGGGACTCCCCTACAGTGACATCCCCTTTCAGGTTTGGGCAGGACTCCTATGGAGAGAGCCTTTATCTGTGACCTCATCAAAGGATAGGAAGACAGACATCAGGGCAATACAAGGAGCCCTTTGTCAGGCAGCCTGCAATGAAGCGCACCGCCCTCCTGGAGCTGCCAGGCCTCTGGGCTGCCCTGGACCATATCTCTGCACCAGCCAAGAGGCAGACTGGGCGCAGCTTTGAAGATTCCCTTGCAACATCCAAAGAATGCTGTTGAACCCCTTCCAGTTTCCCAGAAGACGCCTGGCACGGACAAACCCAGCAGGGACACCAAGCAAGCACCTGTCCAGCGGTGAGCCTCTACCTTCTGTCCCTGGGCTATGCCTTGAACTCAAGGTCAGAACTCTCCTTACTGCATGCTCCCAGTCGTGCTGAATCCCCCAACTTCCCTCTCCTGCCCTGCCCTCTCTCCTGCCCCTCTGGTCCTGACTTCYAAGCCAGGACTTCTGACTTTTAAAAACATTTTATTGTGTTGTGTGACTTTTTATAAAGCAGAATTAAATAACTTTGGAAACAAAGGTGGCATGTTGGTGATCCCAGTCCACTTAAGATAAATGAGTGTCCATGGGTTGCCCCTCTGCACTGGAGCACTGCCCTCCAGGGGATAGGCTCCGGTTCCCTCCAGAGGTGGCAGAGGAGCTCCGTCCCCAGAGACACACAGATGCACAGGCACCACCTGCCAAGGAACCATGGGTGCCAAGGGGTGCTGCCAAAGCCCGCACAGTCTTGTTGAAGCTTCCCAGTTGACCCTCAACATGGTCCGGCTGACCTAAGTGCTAACTCATGGTAAAGAAGGGCCAGCCTCAGATAAATAGGATCCCACAGGTGACTGGACCTGCTGCTTTTGACTTCCTGTCCCTGCAGAATCATCTTGTCAAAGGGTGAAGGCAGCTTACTGGCACCCTTCACAGTAACTACTGTCAGCAGAGGAACTGAGCAGGGTGCCCTCTGCCAGTGTGGCCCAGTTCCTGAGGCCTGGCATGCTCTGCTCCTAAGTCAGGCTGTACTTCCCAGTATCATCCTGAAGGAGGCACCGGTGAGCACTCATCACACTGGAAGGAAGAAGGCAGGGGACTGGACAAAGTCCAGACCTTGCTGCAGATGGCGGCCTGTTACTAATAAGAGGGCTGCTGAAGCTTGACAGAGGATGGAAGCTGTTTCGAGATGCATTTAACAGCAAGAAACACTGCTTTTCTTTCCACATGTTTGTTTTGACTAGCATTCTGGTCATGAAAGGGGATTTTGCATTGGATTCTGCATTGAGAACAAAGTAACACACAACACAGTTTGAGCATTTTATCCTCGTGTTTAACAGCATAGTTCTCAAAAAGCATTTTAATAAATATATGAAGGCTCAAGGTAACCACTGTTTGGAGGGGACAGTGTTTGCTTTCCCACATACTAGTTTATGTTCAGGGTCATTTAAAATGAACACAGTCACCATCCAGGGACTATGCAAACACTGGCCTGCCCAGGTTTGTTTTTTTCCCATTCAATGTATCTTGGTATTATCTTCCTTCCTCCTACACCAGAGGGACAAAATGGCCAAGTTCTAGCAGGCTGCGAGAACGCCATGATGGCTGAGGCGAAAATGTTTGCCTTCTTGACAAAAGGCTTCCGTGGAGTTACCTGGACCATCAGTGATGCGGCATGAAAATAAAGCTGAACAAAGAGGCTCCACCACTTGTTAAACAGCAAGAAGTGCCGCTGACTAGTCTGGGGAAGGGCAGAGGAATGGCTTCATCCATCCCCAACTRGAAGCATGACCCTCATGGAGGAGATGCCAGTGACCTGTCTGTAAGGAGTGACTCAGGCCTCCTGCAGGGCCTCTTGTCCCAAGAACCTCCAGCAGGGGTGTCTGCACCCAGCACAAGCTGCCAAAGCATTCTCAGCACCTCGGGGTCACCCAAGCAGATCACCACTGCGCAGCAATGGACTCCCCTCGAAGTCCCACATGGCCAAGGACTGTCCACAGTGGACAGGCTAACACATTCTTGCAAGAAGAGCAGCAGATGCTGACAGTGGGTCCAGTTTGAAGCCACCACCACCCGAGGCCCTAGATGGACTCTAGAATCCAGTCACTGCCAGAGAGGTGGGGCACAGGCAGGGGCAGGCTCCCAGGAGGGCCTCCATCCTGGCCTTCACGGAGGGAGCTCTGGTCCTGGAAACCCTCTTCTTCCTCGTCAGAGAAGCCGTTCTCCAGTGCACACGTGCAGTCAGGGCTGGAGGCCGCCTGGCACGCACCCTTGTACTCCTGAATTGACTCGTAGAGGCTGTATAGCTGGCAGAGCAAAGACACGTCCAGCTGCCGGAGGCCAACCTAAGGGAAGGCAGGAGGCAAAACAAGTCAGCACGCCCGGTCAGCTATCTGCCGAGGCCAGCTCAGTCCTCCCACACAGAAACAGAGCCACATCTCTCGGAGACTGGGGTCTCCAGTTTGGAGAACACCTTCCTGTGTCAGGCCCATCCACAGCCTGGGGAGAAACACCACTGTGAGGTGGTGAGCCCAGCCTTCGGAGTTTGCTGTGGCACTCCAGCTGGCTGCACCAGGCACACCAAGCCACAGGTCATTTCCTCCCAGCCACCAGACTCAGAAGATCCTCGTCTGCTTTCCCTGTCAGTATGTTAGGATCTGAGCACCGAAGTCACAGCTCCCGGGGTTGGAATGCAGCCACCCTGCAGCACCCACCTCCAAACCAGCTCAGCCCCAGGTTTACAAGAGGACCCTTGGAGGCCAGACACCCGCTGCTCCAGAGTTGTGGGATCCCTCCCCAAACAACTGGCTGACCATGAAGAAATCCAGTAACAATGGAATATGACTCATCCATAAAAAAGAATGACTTTGAGCTGGGCGCAGTGGAACACAGCCTGTATCCCAAAAGCTCTGGAGGCTGAGGCAGGATTGCAAGTCCAAAGCCAGCCTCAGCAAAAAGCAAGGAGCTAAGCAACTCAGTGAGACCCTATCTCTAAATAAACTACAAAATTGGTCTGGGGATGTGGCTCGGTTTTCCTGTKCCCTGGTTCAATCCTGGTACTCCCCCCTCCACATACACAGGCAAAAAGAATGACTTTATGACTTTTTATGGTAAATGAATGATCCAGAGACAATCATGCTTAGTGAAATAAGCCAATCCCCCAAAAAACTAAAGGCTGAATTTTTCTCTGATATGTGAATAAGGTAGGGAGTAAAGAACAGAAGTTCATTGGATTAGACAAAAGAGTAATAAAGGGAAGAGAGGGGACAGGAATAGGAAAGACAGTGGAATTAATTAGATATAACTTGGGCTGGGGTCGTAGCTCAGAGGTAGAGCCCTCCCCCCTACCATGTGTGAAGCCCTGGGTTTGATCCTCAGCACCACATATAAATAAGTAAAAATAAAGATATTAAAAATATATTTTATAGGGACTGGGGTTATGGCTCAGTGGTACAGTGTTTGCCTCTCATGTATGAGGCACTGGGTTCGATCCTCAGCACCACATAAATATAAAAATAAAAATATAAAATATAAATATATTATAAAAAAATTAGACATAACTTTCCTATGTTTATACACGAATACACAACCAGTGTAACTCCACATCATGTACATCACAAGAATGTGATCTTAATTAGAGTAAAATATACTCCATGTATGTATAGTATGTCAAAATACCATCACATATATCTAAAAAGAAAATGAAAAATTTTTTTAAAAAGCAGCAGCCTGGTAAGATGCAGCTGACAGCTTCTCCTGGAAACACGTTCCACAAAAAGAAGTGGTGACTGGGGACAGCGGTACACACCAGGAATCCCAGCAGCTCGGGAGGCTAAGGCAGGAGGATCATGAGTTCAAAGCCAGCCTCAGCAACTCAGCTAAAAAAAATATGTTTTTTAAAAAAGGGCTGGGGGGCTGGGGACATAGCTCAGTTGGTAGAGCACTTGCCTCGCATGCACGAGGCCCTGGGTTCAATCTCCTGCACCAAAAAAACAAAATGGCTGGGAATGTGGCTCAGTGGTTAAGCACCCCTGGGTTCAATTCAATCCTCAGTACCAAAAGAAAAAAAAAAAGTGGTAACTGAATAAGGGACACATACTTATTTATCTTCAAGTTCCTCCCTTCCCACTGCCTACCCAGGGAAGGCAGCTAGGGTAGGAAAGGAACCATTTCTATCAATCCAAGACAGAAGCTCTTCATGTGCTTGAAAATGCAGGGGAGCCCAGTACACCTGAATCCTCAGTGTGCTCAGGAACCATACAGGAACCATACTGGCTCCATTCAGCAGCTGGGGCCGCTGGAAGCCATGGGCGACGCTGACCACACCTAGGGGACAGCCCTAAGGATGCATAAAGCAGGGGAGCCCTGCATCCTCTCTCACTCCCAGTCCAGTTACTTGGACTCTGCTGGGAGGTCTATATGAAGTCCAGTCCCCGTTAACAGACACCTCCTGCATGCTAAGGCCCCTTACACATGGACATTGCCCACAAAGAGGCAGATGGCATGCAAAAATGGCTTCCTTACCCAGCACGAGATTCTCCAGGTAAGAGTCTGACTTTCATAAAGGAAGCTGGAGCCCAGTTAAAAATCGATTTTCTTTTTTTTTTTTAAAGAGAGAGAGAGAGAAAGAGAGAGAGAGAGAGAGAGAGAGAGAGAGAATTTCAATATTTATTTTTTAGTTTTCGGCAGACACAACATCTTTGTTTGTATGTGGTGCTGAGGATCGAACCCGGGCCACACGCATGCCAGGCGAGCACGCTACCGCTTGAGCCACATCCCCAGCCCTAAAAATCGATATTCTTGAGATGAGATTGGGTGTTAAACTGAAGGTCATTCTTTACGCCCTTCAATCACTCCCAGCCACCAGGCAAATACTGGCTGGCTTCTGAATAGACCAGACATAGCACTGTAGCTGTGGGGATGCACACCTATCCCAGCTCCGGGGAGACTACGGAAGGAAGATTGCAAGTTGGAGGCCAGCCTGGGTCTTTATTCAAGACCCTATCTTGAATAAAATAAAAAGGGCAGAGGACGTAGTTCAGTGTTGGAGCACTTGTCTACCCTCATGTGCCTAAGGCCCTGGGTCCAACCCCGTACAGAAAAAGTTATAAGAAAGGAGCTGTGTTTGCCCAGCCCCAAGGGCAACCTTCTAGACTTTCAGACAGGCCGTCCTGCTGTCACTCTGGCACCTCGTGGGCCTAGAACTCCTGGAGAAGCCTCCCCCAGGCCCAGTCCTGTCTTTCTCAGGGGCTCTGCTTAAGTCCACACCCTCAGTGGGTCTGTAAATATGAGACCCAGTGCCTGGGTAAATTGTCATAAGAAGCGGCTCCACCCAGTGGCTACCTGCCCTCAGGCAGCCTCCCAGGTGAGCCAATGGCAAGCCTGGGGGCACCAAGCCCCCCAAATCTGGGTCAGACACGGTAGGTTGCCCTCCTTACTGAAGCCTGGGTGTGCATACCCGTCAGGAAGAGYGGTGCTGGCCTGGAGCTTCACCGGTGACCGATACCCATCCCAGCCAAGAACCAGCATCTCCACACAAAGGCCTCTGTCTTTCCTGAGCCACTGACATTTACGCTGCTCCCAGGATGGCATTTGAGGCTACAAAGAGCAGAAGAGCAGACTAAAGACTGCCCGCTGGCACTCTGCCAACAGTGGACAGAGTGCMCAGCCCTGCCCTCCTACTGTGATGAGGCAGGCGTGTTATGTGCAGCTCTACCAGCAGAGCAGAGCAGCAGCACTGGGTGGGAAAGGAGCCCGGGCACCCAGAAGTGCCCTGGGCCACCCTGGGCAGGAGACGGTCAGCGTAGCAAACAGGATAAAAATCACCAGCAACATGGTACCTGAAGACCCCGGTCTGAAAGGACCTGGATGTTCTGCCTCTGACTCCACACGCCGACCCTCCGAGCGAGTCGAGGCCTCCAACAGCCCTGCTGTGCTGGGTCCTGTCTCCAGCACCCTGGTGTTAGGTACCACCCTGTTGCTCTCTCCTATCCACCCTTTAAATACCCGGAGGCGGGGTTCAGTCCACACCCTTACACCTAACAGACCAGCTAACTCATCTCTCCAAACTAGGTACCTTGGGTCCTGCCACTACTTTCACAGGATGCTCTGGTCTGCTGACCACCAAGTCCTTCCTCCAAACTGGCTCCTGCTTCCGGAGATTCCTTTCAAGATACAAGCCCTGCACACAGATCCTGACTCGGCAAGCCCCAGAGCACTGACCTCTTCTAGGGCTAGTATGAGGGAACAATGGAACTTCAGCAACACCACACCCACCCARAGACTAGGGACAAGGCTTGCTTCCACTGAGTGATTCTGACACCATCAGGGTAAGGGTGCGAGACTCTACTCCCACCTCAGGGCAGACCAGAGTCACCCAGGATCACCAGTAGCGTGCTGACCTCCACCCTCCCAGGGTACCTGGTGTGCTTGGGAGAGGCAGGTGCCTGGGCTCCAAGGCAAGACGGCCCCTTGGAGAGTGAAGGCTCTGCCTTTCCCCTCCTGTGACACAGGTGTGGTTCTTGGTTGTTCTAGGCTTTCCAAGGTCTGCCCGGAGCCCCGAGTGGGCCGGCAGCAGTGAGCTGGAAGCAGAGGACAGTGCCGGGACTTCTCAGTGCCATAGTACCAGATGACTCAAAGCTGCCCTGTCATGGGTGGGACACTGGCCTAGGAATGCAGGTCCGTCCTGTCCATACCTGCAACACAGGTGACCACGCGCCAAGCACTGGGCCACCAGCAAGGACACACACACCCTGCAACGTCTCCAGGCACCCAGACTTCTCTGACTTAGCAGAAATCCTTAGAAATAGCTATGGGGGCAGCCCTGATTTCTTGTCAGAACATCTCCTGCTGGCTGCTGAACAAGGTCACTCCATCTTCTCAGGGAGCGGGAACTCGCTGGGCAGCGTTCCATCACGGTCAGATGACTCTTCGGCTGTGTCCCTACTTGCCACTGCACCACATGCACCAGTCAGGTTGAGGCCCCTTCACCCAGACTAGCCCCAGGTGTCCGCTCCACACAAGCCAGAGCCTCTGGGACCACCTGGCCCAGCAGCGGCACCCCGCTGCTAGTGACTGGCTCAGCCAGTATTCAGCCCTTTCCTCCTGGGATGTCTTGGGGCATTCCTGGTTCTCCACCTTATGCTCCAGGTGTGCAGATGGGTCTCCTTCCTCCTGCCACAGGACAAGCTGCTTTAAGGAAGTGACTCACATCCTTCTGGGAGTCCTCAGCCACCAGCCTGGAGCTCGAAGCATGGACATGCAGATACCAGGTGCCTCAGTGTACAGCCGGTTATAGAGAGCTCAGGTTGTATGGCTGCAGAAGCAGCCTGGCCAGTCCTACCAT